GTTATACAGGTCTTGCTTTATCTTGGTCTTAACCATCCAGCAGAAAAGTATAAAAATGAAGTATATGAAGTAAAGTCATATTAATATGCTGAGCTGTGAAAGACTCAAGTCAACAACTTCTGTGGATAATAACCCCTTACTACTGTGGACTACTAGACTGTGTTGGATTGTTTTGCTGAATTCATGCACCTATAGTATTTAGATGCCAATGGAATACCAATTTCTGACAGGATTGAAAAAAAAGGGCGATACAAAGGAAGGACCATTTTGTATCTGTATATGCAGAATAGTTAGGATAGATATACAGGTTCTTTCTCTTAATTCAATGAGAAGAAAGATTTTGTACTAATAGTGTTTGGACAGGATATTCTGTTTGCATCTTGTACTATGGATAACCACTAAGAAGACAACAATATACAATGTGTTAATTATTGAAACTGTCCTATGAATCAGTTTTGAAATTGTAAAAAGTAAAATAAAAGAAAAAGAAAAAGAAATTTTTTTAAAAAATTAAGGCTTCAAGTTTATCATTCTTTATAGATGAGTAATACTTCATTATATAAAAATACCACATCTTTTTCAACCATTCCTCAGGTGATGGTCATCTTGGTTGTTTCCAAGATTGGGCTATCACAAATTGTGCTGCTATAAACATAGGTACACATATATCACTATGATATGACATTTTTAGTTCCTCTGGGAAAATTCCCAGTAGGGGGATAGCTGGTTTGAGTGGGATTTCCAGTCCTAGTTTCTTAAGGAGTCTCCACACTGATTTCCATAATGGTTGCACCAGTCTACATTCCCACCAGCAGTGGAGAAGGATTCCCTTTTCCCCACAACCTCTCCAACATTTGTTGTTGGTTGATTTCTTTATGATAGCCATTCTTTCTGGGGTGAGATGGTATCTCAGGGTTGTTTTAATTTGCATGTCAGGAATGGCTAGTGATGTGGAGCATTTTTTCATATATTTATTCACTTATTTAACTTCATCCTCTAAGAAGTGTGTGTTCATCTCAGATGCCCATTTCTGGATTGGGTCTGTAAATTTTGGGGCCCAAATGTTTTTTATTTCTTTATAAATTGGAGAGAGAATACCTTTGTTGGAATGCTTATTAGTTAAGATTTTTTTCCAAGTTTGTGGTTTGTTTTTTCACTTTGTTGGTAATTTCTATTGATTTGCAAAAAAACTTCTCAATAAGAGGAGGTCCCTGTTTTTCAAATCACAAGTATTACTCATGTGATTTGATTTTTGTTCATGAACTCTTTGCCTACCCCTATATCTTCAAGAGTACCTCCTACTTTCTCTTTTAGGAGATTTAGTGTTTCTGTTTTAATGTTTAGATCTTTAATCCATTTTGACATTAACTTAGTGCATGGTGATAGACCTGGGTCAAATTTTGCCTGAAGTATTTTCATAGAAGCAGCCTTGCCTAAATTACCTCATTCCTTACTCCTTCCTCTGCCTTGCCAAAACTTCACAAAAATATAGGAGATCAGGAGACATGCCCAATTTAAGGCAATAAGATCCAGACTATTTGCCCATGCTTAGACATAAATCTCTCTGCCTGAGACTTCACACCTATAAGGTATAGGGGCACCAGGTTCTGGCCATGACCCCACACATATAGAATGTAGGGGCAACCGTGTTCCTGCCAAGTTGCCATAGCAGAAAAAAAAAAAAAAAAAAACACTATAAAAGCAGTTAGAGAACAGAGCACTGGGGAAGGGGAGCACATTGGTAGCCAGCTAATTAATAAAGGCTCTGTAATTCTTTTAACTGGGTCTCCCATGGGAAATATATCCAATCGTAGTCATTGCAGTGGGAAAAAACAAAGACAATGGAGAGAAAATACACAGGAAATAATGTAGTGCAGAGATGCACAGTACAGATGAAAAATGAATTTCAAGGGAGAGAAATCACTGTTGCCTGAGATTAAACTGCTAAATGTTCATTCAAACAAACAAACCAACAAACAAACATGGCTTGGGAGATAGCTGAGCCATCTAAGCACCTGCTTGGCAAGCACAAGGACCTGGTTTCGTTCCCAGTACTGCATGCCATGCTGGCCCCAGAACTCTGTGCCAGCCACTAAAACTGGGCATGGTAGCACACACCTGTAATCCCAACACTGGGGAGCTGAGACAGGTGGATCACTAGGAGTCTGCGCTGCATAGCGAGACCCTGTACCAAATTAATTAATTAATTAATTAATTTTTAAAAAAGATTAAACCAAACAGCCCAAACTACAAATGTCTATCATGTCACAGTAAGTTTGATTTGTACTTTAATTCTTATTGAATAAAAATGCTCTGAGTGTGGATTCCATCAGACCATCTGTTACACTTCAGTGAAAATGCATTTATCACCAAGATGTCTTTCTAATTAGAAAAAAAAAAGGTTTAGGAAGGAATAAAAGGCTTGGAGAAGGCAAGAAAGGACAATGAAGCCTAGGGATAGGGGCAGGAAGAGAGCAGGAGCAGAAGCCCAAGGACACATTTCATCTACTGCATAGTTTGTCCAGAAACTGAAACTACCAAGACTTAAGTCATGTGAGTTCCTGCTCAGTTTCTGTTCAGATGCTGAGAGCTATGTTCACTTTCTAGCACCCAAAAGTCTCTGAAAACAACAGTAACAATAGGATTCATACAGAAAAATGGCTGCTGGAACTCAGCTGTAAAAGAGCCTCCATAAGAAACCATGAGGTGGATAAGCTTTGCCTGTGTGCAAACCTGCAGTGTGCCCTTTACACAAGACTGTGCCTTCATCCCCATAAATCTAATCAGTGAGCTAAAGTTTGATGCTTAAGAAGACAGAGCTAATGACTAGCATTGGTGCACCTCCTTCTTTGATGTGACGTTGAATTCAGTCCAGATGATCAACAAAACAATTGGAGTCTTTCAACTGAAAAGTCGGGGACAGAAAGTGCTTGCTCGAGCTTGTGACTCTTGCTTGCTATAGCTCATGGCACGAATCTCTGCTTCTCGTAGCTCAGAATTAGTGACCCTGCAAAATGGCCTTAATTATAAATTGTGCTTTATCTCTGTTTCTCAGTATTAAGCCTTTCTTCCAGAAAAGCTAGTTTCTTTTTTTAATCTTTTATTATTATTATTATTATTAATTTATAATTTCTAACAAAGACTTTATTTTTTTTACTATTTAAAGTTTCCAATACTAAGAGAAGATATTATACAATGTCTTTTAAATGAATTGTAAGTCAAAAATAGAGTATAAATCTTAGAACAAAAATTAAGATTAAGCAATATTCCAAAAATTAAATACTAATTAATTAACAATTAAATGTTTCAAAATAATTGAACTAAGAAAAACTTTTCATGATCAGAAAAGCTAGTTTCTAAACAGCAAAGAAACAGTGTCTTAGTAGAGCGATAGATATGGAAAGAATCTCAAAGATTCCCTCAGTGAAGCTCCTCACTTTATAGATGAGGAAATCAATGATCAGAAAACAGGTATCGAGGCCGGAGAGATAACTCAATGGAATAAGCACTTGCCTGGAAAGCTCAAGGACCTGAGTTCAATCCCCAGTTCCGCAAAAAAAAAAAAAAAAAAAAAGGTATTGATGAAATTCTCAAAATTAGGAGGCTCTCCTCTTCCTTCTCTCTGGCTGGAAGATCACCAAACCCATAGCTGAGTGAGGGAGTAAATCATGGGTTTTGTGAAAGAACTAAGAGGAGAAAGGAACTGGTGTCCTAGTTCAGTCCTGTATGTTCCCTCCAGAGGTACAAAGAGGAGACGCATGAGACACACTGAGCTCTGCGTCTTGGTCCCTCCCTGGGAAATCTTTAGTCATTTCTTTCTGCAGTCTTTAATGAGCATTATTTTTCTTCTGTCAGGCTCATGCTGATCTCCTGCTCCCTTTCTTTTAAGGCATAGAAGGAGCTACTAAACAAAACCAGATGCAGTGTGAGTTGTAGAAAAGGCCCTAGAAGTTGATCCCAGTTGGTTTTCTATTGGTCAGGAGTCAGGACGGGGTTGAGCTGAGGGGGATGAGGCAGTTGCTGCATGCGCAAAATACTAGAGGGTGCCTAAAACTTGCTACTTACCATAAATAATGTATAATGAGTTATTTAAAAATAAATTGAACCTAATATAACCGTTGATGCACAAATATTAAAATTTTAATTAACAAAGATCTGAGCTTTCATTAGTAGAACTCATGTAACTCTTTACCCTAATCCCAGCTGTAGCTATTTGAATGTTTAGAATGTAAATATTTTATATGTCAAAGATTTTTGTATTAATTTTGATATTCTAAAAATTGAGTTAAAATATTATTTGTCTAGACTGCTGTAGGTTTTTTGTGTCTGCTTCCTAAGTCTTTTGCCTGAAGTTATAGCCTTGCTTGCTTTGCCCTAATCCCAGGTTTGCTTTGTATTCGCCACTGGCCTTCATCAAAGACTCAAAGACAAAGACAAAAAAATGAGGCGCATACAGAATTTACAGTTTAATTCAGTATATATATTTTATTGAAACAGAATATAATTATTCCAGCTCAGCAGTACTGGAAAGATAAATTAACATCTTGCTTCAGGCCTCATTCCTGTGTCCCCAGGTCGGGTCTTCTGCAGGAATGACCAGACCCAGGACAGCTTGAAGAGAACAAGAGGACCGCAGATGCAGGGTTTGTTCTCAAGTCACTTAACATATCCCTGGAAATTAATTGGCCCCAAGGTATCACAAGTGACAAGCACATGCCCCTCCACTGTGGAAGCCTGGTACCTGCAACCAGGATATGCTGTGCCCTCGACGAGATGGCAGACTGTCAGTTTGAACTTTGTCTCACTCTGGAAGCAGAAAATGTTAGAATTATTCAAGCAAGTCATCTTCCTGGGGGAAAGGCAGATGCTATTGAGTTTTTGGGGCCTCTCGTGGATGAAGACATGTTCCTTTTTGCACATGTGATTGGGTTCTCTGATGATCTTTTGCAGGATCATGGCATTGCAGTACCTCACAGGAATATTACTCTTTGGGTAATCCACATTCAAGTGCTCTATGGACGTCATCACTATATTCTCATCTGGTTCCTTTTCCCAGAAGAGAAGCAGCAAGTAAATGAACACCATTAGTATCATCAGGATTGAGATTTCCTTCACATCTATGGCTTTAACTCCTGTTAAGTAGTGGAGACAAAAGGAGCACAAGGCAATCAGGTTCCTCTTGCTCTCACCCCTGGGAACACCCCTCACTCATTTTGTTTTCTTCACTCTGTTATTTAAAATCATGTCTACCCTACAAGGTCTCACTGTAGGCACAGCTACCTCTTAAAGTCCTCTCGGGCTACTTCAACTCCCAGAGTTTGGTATCAACTAGTCTGTCATAATTCCCTTTGTCTCTGCATGCTCCTCAATAGCAAGTACATTTCCTGTTACTCCCCAAGCTTTGAAAATGCTTAACATGGATCTTGATATACAAAAGGTACTGAAAACTATCCAGGACAGACTCTTTCCCAATGTTCAGTGACTTCTTTCCCCTCAATTTTCTCAGCCTGAATTCCCCCCAGTTCTGCATGGTTTTGGTGATGCCTACTCCTCTCTTCTTCCTAGTTCCTTCCTTGTGTCTGTCCTGCTTGATCTGTGTGAGCGCCTCTTACCTGTCATTGTCCTTGCTGCTCTCACAGGTAACATGGCCCCTAGACCTAAGAAAGTCTCTTGTGTCTCAGTGTTCCTGGTGCTGACTGATAGGGAGCAACTTGTGTGGAGAGGGCAAGAGCAGAAGGAACAGAAAGGGAGGGGCTATGAGCAATGTGCTGGGCGCACTGGCAGGAAGAGGAGTTACCTCCAGAGGGTGAGGCAAGCCAGGCAGCTCTCAAATAGGTCCTTATTAAGCAAGTAGGAACCATCAAAGCATTCAAGGAAGCCCTCATATGTGTCAGCCACACTATTTCCCATTTCCTACATTTTCAATCAGTCCTGCCTACAAACCTGTGGAAAAGCTATTCTTTGAATTTCACTGATAAAGAAATGCATGGCAGAAAATTTGAAGTGACTGTGAGAAGTTACACAGTACTGGACCCTTGAATTCCAGTTTCAGTGAGTTTCTTCACACAGGCTGTCTAGGAGGAGGAAAAACATTCTCTGGCATTAACATTAGCCTTGATAAGGTTCTAGGCTTCTGAAGAGTATAGAAGTAGTTTCCAAACTCTGGTAAACATTGGAAACATCTGAGGATTTTTTAAAAAGTGTTAATTTCAGGGGCTGGGGAGATAGTTCAGTGGAATAAATACTTGCCTGGCAAGCACAAGGTCCTGAGTTCGATCCTTAGTACCACCAAAGGAAAAAAAAAAAGTGTTAATTTCCCTACATTTACCTATGACATGCTTGAGAAACCTTCATGGAAAGTAAGTGGATGAAGGCTTAGTAAAAACATAGTGGCTTAAGGTCTTGAGACAATAGAAATTTTATTTCTTTCATGTCTTATTAAGTTGATATGGGAATGGAAAATTCACTTATATTAGGTCTTGTTCTAAAATCTCCTCCCTCTCTCCATCTGTCTCTCTTCCTGCTCCCCTTCTATGCTGGGGGTCAAACTTGGGGCCTAGAACATGCTAAGCAAGCACTACCTTTGGAGACACATCTAAAACATCTAGTTAGCACATACCTGTATCTTTCTAATTGTAGGAAGGACATGGCTATTGAGTGGACAATTGTCTAGGAAGGACAGAGCATTATAGAAAAGACCTCAGAGAGAGCATCTCTTTCTCTACAATAAAAACATAACTTCAGACCACAAAGTGAACCAGCAAGACGTTATTATGTACTTCCCAAAAGCTTTTGTTCTGAGTCAAACCCTTTCATGATTCAAGCCATCCTGCTTTGCATATCATTGTAGGCAGGGTTTACAGAGGAAAAGATTTAATACAGGACATATAACTTAGAGGGTCATTGTATAGTTGTCACCCAAAGAGTCAAATGCAAAGGAGATCGGTCCACTAGAGACCTAAAGAATCCAGCCAAGGCCTGGATCCCATTACAATGTCCTGCATGAGTCCAGCTAAAGAAACAGAGCCCATGGCAGAGTCCTCCACAAGCTCAGCTGAAGGCCAAGAGCCCAAGACAATGTCTCATGCATGTCTGTATGAAGGAGCTACACTGGGAAGGCCCAAAGATGGGTTGGTGGGAGCAAGAAGGTCTGTGACAGCAGCAGGAAGGATCTGTGCCAGCAGGCTGAGGATCTGCACAGGAACCAGGAAGTGGCACACTCAGGGTAAGCACCAGAGCTTCCTGAGAAGAACCACAGCTGTCCTCAGCAACAGCAAGCACCTGAGCTCCTCAGATGATGAGAACAACCGAATTCACATCAGGAAAGCCACCATGACAAGCTTCTCCAAGAGAACCTACCATGGTCCTTCTTCCCTTCCAAGTTCTCCTTTTCTACTGTTGACAACAATGCTCATGTGGGCCTTCCATGCCCAGCACCATGCTGATTCAGTTCAGCTGTGTGTTACAAACTGACAATTAGTTAGTCCACCTCACATATGTATTGCACAGTGCCACAAAGATATAAGTGCATAATTAATTTTTGCAAATTTTCTAATTAGCAAAATTTTATTTGTATACCATGTTGCAGAAACAGCTCTACAGAATAAGGGGAAGTATATGCATGTTCTGTAACATGTTCAATATTTGCTATGAGAACTTACAAGTGGCTGAACTTAGATGCAGTACTGAATCTACAAGCAGGGAAGCAAGCCCTGCAATGAAAGATACTCCAGCTGAGGCAATTGAGCCCATCCCTGAACACTTCAGAGTCCCCGCCAAACCAGAGTTAAGACTAACTCCACCTCCAACCTTCAGCCATCACCAGCCTACTCTTTGCTACTATAAATTCTACCTTATTTTTAATTTTATTTTATTCCTTTTAATGGTACAGGATCTCACTCTGCAGCTCACACTTGTAGTGATCCTCCTGTTTTCATCCTCCCCAGCACTGGGATTACCTTACTTTATTACTGGTTTTTTGAGATAGAATCTCACTATGTAGTTAATTAGTTAATTAGTTAGTTAGTTAGTTTTTTTGACTCAGGGGCCTGCTATCCAGTGCAGGCTGGCCTTGAACTTGCTATGCTGCTCAGGCTTTCCTTGGACTCATAGCATTCCTCCTGCCTCAGCCTCCAAAGTGCTGAGTTACAGGCATGTACCATCACACTCAGTCTTCTACCTATTTTAGATTCCACATAGAAGTGTGGTCATTTGGTATTTGTCTTTGTGTGTCTAGCTTATTCTACACAGCATGATGTCTTGCAACTTCATCCTTGAACTAATTTGTAAATTTGTTTCACAATAACCTCTCTTTTCTTGAAAATGCATTTTTATGAATGATGTACATAAAACTGAAAAACATGAAATTCCCATATTGAAAAAAATGGGACTGGAAGGAAGCTGCCGAGTGTAACTTTGGAGGGCTGATTCATGGCCTCCCAGCAGCCTCAGCAATTCCTTATGTGGTCACTTTCTGGCTCCCGTAGATTTAAAACAAGCATAAAGTGGTGGGGGGTTTAAGTAAAATCTTTAGGAGATTTCACTTAATTAATAAAAAATAAGATAATCCCAGTGTTGGGGAGGCTACTAATTATAAACACACAAACGCAGTCCTGACTCATACCTATTTACTCGCAGAAGGCAATCCCTGCAACCTGCCTCTGTAACCAACAGTCCAGCCCAGCCCAGCCTCTCTATTCACCAACCAATAGATGAACCCCAACTGCTAAAGAGCATCTTCATTTCTGAACAGCTGTGCCCATCCACAATAAAACAAAACCACAAGTACAGGGAATACTCCACATCCAGATGACTGCTGGGGTGCAGAAGGAGTGCCGCATCCCAGGACCTGGGCACAGCACCAGGAAGCACTTTGCCTGGACCTCAGAAGGGTCTGCCTCTTACCTCCGCAGGAGGAGTAGCCTATATTTCTCAAATTCCTTAATTAGCTGTGTTCCTTTAGGACCTTTGGAAACCAGGGTCCAGAAGATGAGTGGGCTGGGAATCCAGTTTACCCCGAAGGCTCTAGAGTCACATAAAGGAGGGAAGTGAGACTCTCTGAGTGCATAGGAAGAAGGCTGAGGCGTGCACTGTGCAAACTCTGGGCCTGGTAAAGAGGAAAGTGTCTGACTCACCATTTCTGTGTATTAGGGATCAAGCCCAAGGCCTCTGCCCAGAGCTCCATCCAACCGGCTCTTTAAAAAATAATCTTTTTTTTATTTTTGTTTTTTGAGTCAGAGTGTAATTCACTGAATTGCCCAGGCTAAACTCAAACTTGAGCTCTCCCTACTTCAACCTCCCCGAGTGCTGGAATTGCAGCGTGCGCTCCCATGCCCCGCAGTCGTCCCCATTTTCTAATCCCCCTTTCCTGTTTTTCTGTCACCTGTAAGCCACCTTGGAGCACTACACTCAAGACTAAGATGATGGAAGCACTTTGGAGCCAGCATCTGGTTTCTTTCCTCCCGGTTCCTGCTTACTTAGGCGCCTTCCAAACATTTTTGCTCGTTGCTCTGATGAGAAAGCCAGGCGTTTCTGTGTGACTGTGGCAGAAGGTCGGGCTCTGCACTGGCTCACACAGCTCTAAAGCGCCCAGGGTAAGCTGACGCACCGCACCGCGCAGTGCTTCCAGTTGTAACACATCTCTTCCAGGAGGGTTTGTTTTAAGTTAGTCACTCTCCATAGCGGCCGTAAGAGATCTGCTCCCTGCTTCCTGTTCGTTCCTGGTTAGCTGCCCTGGAAGGGCAGCCCGGCTTTCTCTCACACGTACTGTGGGGTCTGAGGCCTGGAGCTGGGCGCCCTCTTTCCCCAGGGCAGGGCCCAGTAGCTCTCGGATCACAAGATATTTTGGAGTGGAGAAGTATTTGGGTAAAAGATGTCAGATTGTGTCCTCTCTGGGGCACTGACTGCCTGAGCGATCTTGAGAAGTCACATTCCTTCGCAGTGTCAGTTTCTCCATCTCTAAGATGGAGGCAGGAGGAAATAATAAAGGAAGACTATTCGGTCCCTCTCTGCTGTTACAAACTAAGGTGCTGAACTTAATTTAAATGGAGTCCTCGGCTAGTCTCTTGGTTATTCTCCTGCACATGTGTACAAGCTCTGTTTCCCTGCACACTGAGGGGACAGGGAGCGACCTCTGACTCCCATCCTGTGGTGCCAGTGCACGCTGGGGAGGCAGGGAGGAGGATTCTGAGTATCAGACCCAGAAGGAGGAGCTCTGATTTAGGAGTGTGGGGTATTCTTGTGAAAGACCTAGGGAACTCGGTTGGATCAAAGGAACGTGGCTTTAGATTGAGAACAATAACTTTTGGTTGGGGAGGGGAGATGAGGTGCTGTGTGTGTGTGGTGGGGGGGTTCATCAATTACTTTGTTAACAGCAGAGCTGTTTTCTAGACAACTTGCTTACTGAAGGATTTGTGCAGCACTCTCCTAAGCTGCTGGACACTCATCTAGCTTCCCTCCTGCTACTTCCCTGTCCCCTTGTCCAAGTGAAGACATCAGTCGGGGGCCTGCACACACCCAAGAACAAGTTGCTCCTAATCCTGGACAGGACAGATTCTGAAGGCTGTCTCTCTTGGCTGCTCGTGATAGCTCCAGGCTCTGCACACCCAGAATACTGTTCTTCCTTGAGGAGGAACCAAGCTATTTCTTGTTTTATAATTTCCCTGTGTCCCCCAAATGACTGCTACCTGGACACAGCCCAAGAAGAACCAGCCATCCTGACCGGGCCTCTCTAATAGATACTTGCTAG